CACACACACACACACACACACACACACACACACACACACACACACACACACGCACACACACGCACACACACGCACATATATACATATTATGCGTGATATATATAATACACATATATCATTATATGTGTGTGTGCGTGTGTGTGTATGTGTGTGTGTGTGTGTGTGTGTGTGTGTGTGCGTGTGTGAGCGTGTATGTGTTCTTGTGTGGTCTACACCCTGCCAGGGGAGAAAGGTATTAATGATGATGATGATATACATGTTTATAAATATGTATGAACATTTTGACGACAAAACGTGACGAATGCCATTTTCGAACTTTGAAGAAACAAGTATCATCGTATCTAGAAAGCTGAGGCACATTCCACATTCATTTATTTCCCCACAAAACACAATTATTGCTCTTTAAATCGCTGCAGAACATGATTTTTTTTTTATTACTGGAAACGCGAAAAAAGCGGTCCTCTTTTCTTGAAAAATTGTGGCATCCTCTACACACAAATAAAAAAAGTATTTCCCTGAGTCCCGTGACTTCGCTTGTGTGGTCGACGCAAGTTTCATGGCGATTCTTTTGGTTCCTAATTATTTTAAGTCATATAATAATGCGTGAAAGTCTCTCGTAATTTCAACAGTCCATGGTTACTACTGGTGAAGCAAAACCATAGAATAAAGATTAAAGGTTTAAACAGGTCATAACATAACCCTATTGTATTTTTTAAAATAACAATACATATGAAATTACACCCTCAAATGTCTGGGCGTGGTAAAAAAGAGACATATATGAAATAGACTCTGCATGTCTGAGAGTAATTCCCTGACCCCTTTGAAAGCATTTATTGATAATATTAATAAAATACGGCAGAGTGAACAGGCCACATAATACTGCCGTAGACATACCACAGACATCTCATGAAAGCTTACGAAGAAACCGGGGGATATCAACAATAGCCATTACTGAAAGGCAATACGTCCCAAATCGAAGCCTCGGTTATTTTAAACCAAGAAATTCTTAATCATCTAGTCCATTAAAGACACAATTACCATCTGACATGTTGATGAAATGTTTGAAATCCATGAGAAGCAAACATGAAACTTTTGATAGGGTTCATCACATCGTCAGAACATCCAGGAGAAAACAGGACTTTGTAATTCCTGCACTAATTCCTGTACTGATTTTAAGTTAAATGTGTAACGACGCGGTGGAACCAGGTGCTTGTAAATTTTTTGGCATATGGCGTTATTGATGTCAACATAAAGCTAGTTCATTGTCTTGCATTTCTTGAAAAAATACCCATCTGTCTTGAATAGAAGTCGAGATATGTGCGATTGAAGGAGGTGGGGGTCATCAAGTGTTAGCGGTAAAATAAGTGACAAATAGGCCAGCAAAGTTTGATGACTTCCAAAGCTTGAGCGTCCTTGCAAACTGCACATTTACAATTTGTGTGCCTTTGATCAACGGTTTTTCCAATAAAATATACATAGAAATGTTTGGCGAAAAAAAAAGATAATTAGTAGAAAAAAATTGCCCAACTCCCACAAAAATGTCGGTTTTCATTTTTTTATTTTATTTCCATTAGTTTGACGAGCGCCTGATTTCACTATGATGCCTCACACAATAATATCCTAAATTAACCAAAACCCCGGATGTGTGATACCACATTATGTAATTGTGTGCACTAAATTTGGATCTTCTAGACGCTCAGCTCGAGTGATTTTTAAAAAAAATAGTCTCTACGATTGTTTGAAGTGCCAACAATCAACAGTAAGCTGCTATTTGTTTTTTTCTTTTTCTCTTAATTCCAAACTGCCACCTCTAATGAACCAGTTCTTTTCGATCTTGTTGAGAAGAAATTAAGAGTTCAAATCCCAAAGAGTCCCAAATTGTTCTGACTTTTCAGCAACATCTTTCCTCTTGTTCTCACCACATACATGTATATTTGGTAATATGAAAATCGCCAAACCTTGAGCCATAGTCGGTGCATATAGAGACCGTACTCCAGCATGGATGGACTTGGTACCGCTGTTGAGACAGCAGGCTACTAATATCCCGTTCGTTCGTTTGAGTAAAGAGACGCACATCAACACAATAATAGTTATTTAGTGCTGGTAATAATTTTTAAATTAAGACAGGCAGACAGACAGACAGACAGACAGAAACAGCAGAGAAAAAGCAAAGAAATAGGACACACCAGCGGCACTCTCCAACCATCCGCCTAATATCCAGTTTAGAGTAAGGAAAAAAACCGAATGAATGAATGAATAGGCATCAGCAGACATCGACGAGAGATCAGATCAACGCAAAAGGGAAGGACAGTGAAGATAAGATGTAAAGAGAACTCGGGGCCGACCGACGGCGAATTTCAAAGGAAGCCAGGACATTTATAACTGATATCGAAACATCACATCAAAGGGATTCGTGGACTGTCATTACAATCACAAAACGAGTATAGTCATTATGAAATTTGCATGATGACCACATCTCCGGAGACGGCCCTTATTATTATGTCGTTTAGCAGAGACGAGTAATACAGCTGGCCGTCATAGTCACACGCACACAAAGATACACGCAAAGATTGTGTGTGCGTGAGGGTGTGAGAGAGAGAGCGGGGGGGGGGGGGGAGAGAAGAAGAGAGAAAGAGAGAGAGAGACAGGGAGAGAGAGAAGGGTGGAAGAGAGAGTGAGAGAGAGATAGAGAGAGAGGGGGGGAGAGAGAGAGGGAGAGAGAGAGAGAGAGAGAACGTGCATACGTGAGTACGCACGATTGTACAGAGGCACTCTCTCTGTCTACAATCTATATATCTAGATCTAGATTGTTTTCATTCGAACAATATAGATCCAGACTTGCCCCTCTCCGTTTCCTTCTTTCTATCCCATCCCTCCACAACCCCCCCCCCCCCCTTTCCAACCCCACCCACTCTTATTTCTACCTTTTCATCTAATTATGACGGAACAAGTTTCCCTCAAATACACGTCTTGCTCAGTGATTTTCTCGTTAACCGAGCGACCTCTTGGTGAGAATCTGAAACGAGAGCATACAAGAGTCCCTAGGGAAGAGGATCAGACCGTTATGAAACCAGCGTGAACTGACACTGCCCTTGTTTATTAACAAACACACTCGGACCGGAGTGGGTGAAGTTTGGGGGGGGGCGGGGCAGAATGCTAGTATCGAATTCAGACAATGTCACAGAATTAAGAAAAAGCCTGAAGGCTCTGGATTATTCTTCAGAAATCAAAGGGTTGTTAGAACCTTTTAACTAGCCTTGCATAAGTTATGGATCTGAATCCTCAATAAAAGTCAGTGCGCCACCCACAGAACCGTTTTCCACATGGACTGTTAAAAGATATTGCGAACTCAAAATGATAATATCTGCCAATTTAACCAACAAGAAATCAATC